GCTCTAGTCCCAACTCTCTTAACTTCGGAGTTCTCATGACTCTGAAGTCAGCGAGCTCCCAAAATGCCTCATGCTAGATGGAGGCGGGATGTGAAGAGACAACTAGCCGGTCATTTTGGTACCAATGCCGTCGCTTGGGTTGGCTGGAGGAGAAGATGGCTGCCCAAAAACTGTTCGGATGAACAGTAACAGGGAGAGGGGGTCACACGCAGAGGGAGGAACCGGGAAGAGAGAGAGAGAGAGAGAAAGGAGGGGTTTTCAGTTTTTTAATTAAAATCAAACTTCAACTTATTTACGATTATGCCACTGGTGATGTTTTGCTCGTAACTTTCTCGTTACAACTCCGATTCAAGCCTACCGCATGTCTATGGACGCGTCTCAATACGACCTACGTAAAGGTACTTGCCACTATCCCAAAATCCTTCCGGATTAAAAATGACCAAATTACCCCTACCCGAGGGCAAAATTTTAAATTCATAATTCTTGAAATTAATTAATTCACCATTCTTTTTATTTTGGGTCGGGATGTTACAATTGAGTTTGAGGTGTTGTTTGGTTAGAGATTTTTGTATAATTTTATAGTACTGTCATCATAGTTTTGACTTTTAGTTCCTCACTTTTAGTAGGTGCATTTTTACTCAGACTCTGCATTGCAGTTTTTGTTTATGCTTTGAAGTTTTCGCTTCTGCATTGTAGTTTCCATTTTCCGTTTTAATACTTTTGTCATGGTTTTGCTTTTTGGTTCCTCACTAATTTTAGTACTTTCATCATGGTTTTGCAGTGCATTTTTTGTTTTTGTTTGGAGTTTGTAGTGTGTAGTTTTTGTTTTTGTTTTTGTTTTTATGTCATTGATATCTACATTGTATTGTTGTTGCAGTTTCTGTTTTTGTGTGAATTTGTGTTGAAATTAATTTTTTTTAAACCTTTGATTGTTTATATAAATATTGTGCAATTGAATAAATATCACAAAAACAAGTTTGGTGTAGTGGTTTGTGAGTGAAGCTTCCTTCTTTAAGGGTCAAGGTTCAAGTCCCTTCAATGACACAAAAATTTTGGTCTTTGGCCTTATGCTAATTAGATGAAATTGTACCAATCTTCCAAATTAGTAAACTATAGTGTTTTAAAATGAAAGCGATATGAGAAAGTGTTTTTAGTGCCAAATAGTTGTATTTGGAAAGAAAGATGGGAATTTTTCAATTGGAGATGGATCTTAGAAAACATTTTTGTATGAATATATGTCTTATTCACACTCGGAATAGACCCTCTCTTCCGACATGAGAATACTTTTTTATAAGTAAATATGCAACTCAATAAGTACCGGACCACAGCAGACAATAGTTAGATTAATAAATTGGCATTCTATTGCCTACTTCCTCCATTCACGATGCATAATAAGCCATTCACGATGCGTAATTCAATTGTCTTAATTTTGATGTTAGATCGCTCCGTTATTGTAATGTTTGCATTAAATCCTATACTTGTATATTCTAAAGATTATATACATTGTTGCCAACAATGTCATTTCACTGTCTGTTTGATTTTATATCTTAGTCAAAAGAAACAAAAATGCTCCAAAAGCCCAAATACTATTTATGCAACATTCTCACACCAAAAAAACAAAAAGCTACTGTGACTATATCTTTAACCAAAATATTGTAACTCATCTCTAAGTTTTATGTATTAACTCTGAATAAAGTATTAGTAGAGGAGGAAAAAAAAATGGACATGCGGGAGCCCCGAGTGAATTGGTTGAAAGAAGAAAAATAAGAGTAAATGTAGGATAATAGAGAAAAAGGAAATAACACAGACTTACAAAATTACTAGCTCTTCGCTATTCAAGTTGTTATTTGAAATTGTTAATTCGAATGGAGGGTAGGTAATATTGGATATTTTCCATTTTCAATCACACGTAGTGTTTTAGACGAGAGTACGAAGAATAAGGCAGACAAAGACTTAGTCAAGTTGGCTAGAGAGGATATGTGCTCCTCATTATGCAATCGAGTTAGAATCCCCCACTCCGTAATTTAGTTTAAATTAAAGTATAATATCGTTTGTATTCAAAAAATATCAAAAGTAGAAAGAATATGGAGAAAAGAGTGCTCAAATATCAAATGATTCTTCAGGCAAACCACAAGGCATATACTAGAATATATACATAACAATGGATCTAGTTTCCTATGGCCAAAATTGGTTTAACTATAAAATGTATGAACTTAATATCTAAATTTCAGTTGCCAAAAACAAAAATAAACATTTCAGAAACATATAAATGCTCACAAAATGAAATTAAAGGAAATTGATTGCTTACCAGTAACGGTTCCAATCCTTTCCCGTATGAAGTCAGTCTGTACATGAACAAGAAGTGACCGTGGTCCACTAGTCCAAACCGGCACCCAGGGCACTTTGATCTCCTCCGACATATCTCCCCCGAACCAAAAGAACGCATCGGTCACCAAACACCTGACCTTCAAACCCGTAGCCGCCTCGGCGTTCTTCAAACCCCTCATGAAGTTACTGAGCGCCGCCTTCAAAAACAACCCGATAGCTTCCTCAAAGTTGGCTGAGGGCACGAAACCCTCAGGCAACCCATCCGCCACTTCGTGAGGCTCAACATTGTGGAAGCTCGACTGCGAGACTTTGGAGAGGAGGGAGGAGTTTGCTCTAGAAGTGGTGAAGAAGGAGAAGAGGACGTGTGGGGAAGCTGGAGCTAGTTTGAGAACAACGTCAAGAAGAGCACTTGCATGGCTCCCAAAAGGGAAGGCCAGAACGGCAATATGGTGAGTTTGGGGTTTGGGGTTTCCTACCATAGTTGCTAGTGGTCTTGGCTTTGTGCTAGCTAGCTGTAGAGACTGTGACTTACTTATATATGAGGAACAGTAGATGAGGGCAGAAGTGTCGGTGGCTATAGAAAGGTAGATGGAGATACTTGGTTATCAAACGAACAACAAGTCCTCCAAATAAAAGTCTGATATAATTGTGGTTGTAATAATTGACAAAGAAAAGTTACCACAAATAAAGTAAGCGAAAAAACAATCTAACTTGTCTCCTTTTGTGTTATTGAGGAATTACACTAGGTCCTCGTGTTGAGCTTGCGGTCCCCAAAAAAATGCTTGCATTTATGTATCTCATAGGCACACCACTAGCAACACTCTTCAAAACCGAATTCTAGCATGTACCACTATCATAGGTGCTCCTGAATGATGACTATAAATAAATGGAAACCCGCTTTCGATGTTTGTCACAGATGCAGGCTTGCTTGTCCAGCCATTCTCAGCAACCACTGCCATCTTTATGCAATGACGGTGATGATGATATTATAAAAAGGTTGCCATGTGGTGGGTTTGGGTAAACAAGTTTTTGTTGATATTTAAGGCTTTTAAAATTTTAAACGTTAGTTTTTAAATTCATTTGGCTGTTTTCCTATTTATTATGAGGTTATACCATTTGAATTCTCAGTTTTTTTTTAATAAATTTATTGCCTTAATTTTCTGGTCTAAATTATACTTGGATGTTACAATTGTTGGATGCCTATAAAAGGTCACTCCTCCTTCACATTTGAAAAACACCACAATCTGATTTCTCCTACTTCCATACTTTCTCTACTTTCGATATTATTATTTTTGAGCAACGGTTTTGTGACTTGGAGACTTTTATCCAACTATGAACATGTTTATAACGGACCTTAAACTTGAGTAGTATTGGGGGTTGTATTTTGGAGTCTTGTAGACCATCAATACATGCACGTAGGGAGGCTACAAAGGGCCAAAAAGAGCTCAAGCCATCTATAGAAATCATCATGTCAAAGAAGCTTCAAGAAGCTGATAATTAACTTAGATAACCAAAGAAGAGAAACTTGTATAAGTACATAATATTCTCTCAATGAAGCACCAATTTATGGGACACCAAACAATACAAAATGTTGAAACCAAAGAAAGAACAGCAAAGACCCTCCCTGGGGTTGTTGGTCTCAAATCAATATAGTGACTTGAGCTTTATTATCCCACATGTCTCGCCAACTACCCCATTTTCTTAGGAGAAGAGGGTGTGTAATTGGAGAAAATGGTGTTATCATGCTTGCATATAAAATATTGACATCAATCCATGAAACAACGGTAAACTATGTATATGGAATATTACTTGCTGGGTTTTAGAATTTTTCTTTGTATTATAAACATGTCACCTACTAGGCAATTCTAGATGTACAAAACAACTATGAAAAATTGAGCAATTGGCTCAATCTCAAAGAGGAGCTCTTGATAAATTCATTTTTCTTTGCTTATTGTTTGTACTGAACTTACTTATTATTTATCTTTCTCAAATTGAAAAGTTTAAAATTTTATGAATTTTTTATTATCATTGCATGCTAATTGATGATGAAGTTAGCTAAAAAAAGTTGTTTCATAACATTAAGTCATGCTAATTTTTTAGTTTTTTTATATTTAGTTTTTCTTTATTATATGAGGACCTCAATTTAAGTTTCTTTATTATATGAGGACCTCACTTTTTAAAACAAAAATCCATATTCTACTGATATCGACAAACCTTTGAACATGTCTTCATACAACTAGGTTTCACTTTGGGAAGTAACTGTTAATCAAATAAAAATTTCTAGAAGAGAATAAATCTTTGTTCTTATTTTAATGCCTCCTCTCTCCAGGGTTCTAATCCTTTAACATAAATATTAATTGAAAATATTCAAAATCAATTTCTTCCTTTAAATGCGATAGAAGAATCTATCATAAATTTAGAGTATATATTAATTTGGCAACCCACCCTGAAATGATATGAAATTGGAGAAATAATTATTTAATAGGTTATTAATTGAAACCTTTGTGGCTTAATTTGTCCCCCACAAAAACAAATGTGGCAATCATCATCGAACATGGGTGCCACCCCAGAGTTGACACTTTATACCCCAAAAATCCAACTACTGCGGCCTCCAAATTATAAATAAACACAATGACCCACTTATAACACAAACTTCCCCAAATTCTCTCAAATAAAAGAATATTTGGACTTTCACAAAACAAAATGCCTGCAGCATTGTACTACTACTTCACCACCACAATTCTTCTCGTCCTTATCTCAAGCACAAATGCTGCAACAAGGCACAGCCAGTACCTAAGCCAGGCTAACCAATTTTTGGCTCCTCAAAATGCTGCCCGGTCAGCCACCAAAATGAAGCCATTGGTTTGGGATGCGAAGTTGGCAGGGTATGCACAATGGTATGCAAACCAAAGGCGATACGACTGCGCTTTGAGGCACTCAAACGGCCCTTATGGGGAGAACATTTTCTGGGGTAGTGGCACCGGGTGGACACCGGCTCAGGCAGTGACGGCATGGGCTTCGGAGAGCAGGTGGTACAATTACTGGTCTAATTCTTGTGCTAGAGGGCAGGAATGTGGGCATTATACACAGATTGTGTGGAGGTCCACAAGAAGAGTTGGGTGTGCTAGAGTCACTTGTTTGGGTGGTAGGGGTGTGTTCATGGTTTGCAACTATGACCCTCCTGGGAATTATATTGGAGAAAGGCCTTATTGAATATTTCATAGAAATTGCATGCTGTTTATGTGCCTTTGAGGCTGGCAACAATGGAGACTATTTATGTGGATTTTTCTAATCTCTATTTAATTATAACTAATAATATTACAGGATTATATTATATAATTAAGCGGCATGAACCTTGAGGATTGCGTCTATAGCTTTATGAGTTTTATTTATGCGTTGTAAGACCACAAAGGCGATTACATATCTTGGAGTGAAAAGATAAGAATGCTTGACAGAAATGTTGGTGCATTTGTTTGGTAGATTATTTTCTTCTCTTTTGAGGGGTGAGTATATTATCTATAATCGGGGCATCATTAACAATTTAATATACGTAAGTTCAAGTAATTAGAGCATTCATTTCTCCTCCCGAGGTCGATCATCTGTTCGATTGCTCACACCTTCAATATAATTAGATTGCATGATAATCATGTAAACATATCAACTTAATTTAATAAAATAGCTCCTAAACCAGAAGCAGTGTTTTAAGGTAGAAGGAGTTTTTGGTACTTCCATTATTTTTTTTCCTTCAAACTAGGGATGGATGCGATCCGATTTGGCTCAATTCTTGCCTAAAATCATAACCAGAACTGCCCTATGCATTCAGTCCAATTCAGTCTGTTTTTGACTGAGATGACTAAAAGGAGTGAACTAATCGAAACCTATAAAATCCAGTTCGGTTCTTCCAATTCTTGGTTTAGGCCGGCTATTTTTTATTTTTTATTTTTTTAAAATTCCAGCTAGTTTGAAGTTCAAACTAGCTGGTAATGAAACTGGGTCCAAGATGTAGGCTGAAAGGATAACTAAGAACCCATATTGGCCTGAATAATGAATATGACACAGACTGTAAAGTTACATGCATGTCACCTTCATACAATGTCTCACTCTCATGACCCCAATAAATAATAAATAAAAATATATAAAGTCATATATACATATTTAATTCACACTTACAGCCATATATATATATATATATATACACTTTGTACAAGACTTCGGCTTTTGTAATTTTCAACCACATGAACTAACTGAGCCCACACCTAGGGCCTAGCTAGATGACCATTTACATATATAATATTACATATTGTTTATACAATATATAATTTACTTTAATTTAATCTAAACTACGAGGGGAATTTGTACTCACGTGCCGAGTGGGAAGCGCTCTTAACTAAGCCCATACCTTAAAATTGAGCATTACTAATATGGCCTCTCACCAATATAATTACCAGGCGGATCATAATTACAAGTCATAAAAACATCTCCATCATCACACACCGCCCTAGCACACCCAACTCTTCTTGTACTCTTCCACACAATTTGAGTATAATGCCCACACATTTGCCCAGCCTCACACGTATTTGTCACATAAGTATAGTACTTCTCTTCAGCTGCCCATGTATTCACTGCGTCACTCGGCGTCCAAGTCGAGCCACTGCCCCAGTATATGTTCTCTCCGAGCTTGAACTCGCCTTCCGGGAACGAATGCTCCAACTTGCAGTCCGATTTTCTTATGCCTGCCCACCATTGAGCATATTTTTCAAGCTGAAAGTCCCACATCAAAGGTATCTCCCACTTGGCTGCCCTGACCAAATTGTGTTGGTACAAAAATTCTAGGGACTCTCCTATGCAATCCCAGCATAGTTGCTTTGAGACCCTCAGTATGGTCTCGTTGTTGGGCTTTTGTTGGAAAAAATGTGTTTGAGAAGTGGCTGAAACAATAGAGTTGGAAGTGAGAATAACGTAGAGGACAAAGAAGAAGATGAGGAATTGGGGCTTCATTTTTTTTCTGCTTGTCCCACGTCTCGTTTGTGGAGCATATGCTTGGAGAGAAGAGAGGAAGAAGAACCACACGCAGTAGGATGTGTGGAGCACAAGGGAGATTATAATTGGAAGGTGTTGTAGATTCTGGTTTCTTTGCATGGCATATTTATATATAAGTCTCTATGTATGATTGAAGGTGCTCTCGTGAATTTGGCTAATGTTGTGTCCGTGAACTGTGTTTTGTTTTATTAGGGGACATTGTGCCCACCATGGTGCTCTCTAGAACATATGATGCGTGGCATAAGAAAGCTTTAGGTACAATCAAGATATTGTGGCTAGTAAACTAGGTTCCAAAGATTTAATTTTTGTCTTTTTTTTAAATACAAGCAATAGTCTAAATTATAAGAAGAGAGGATTGCTCATACACAAACTATTCAAAGTGTCATGGGATCTGAACTTGAGAACGAGCTCTTTTCCAAGGAAAATACGATGTTTTCTAGTAGTGGCCACTAGCCTAGACCCGATTGGCCATTTTTTTTGTTTCAATGATTAGAAAATGATAATTTTTCATAGACAAATATATGCTAGAAAAGTAAACAAATAAGTACAAGAAATTTAAATATATAATTGTTGGAATATTACAATATTTATTATTGTTGGTGTTTGGTGGTTGTTGTATTGGAACCATTAGAATTTACTCTGCTTGGTCCCTGAACTTGTGCTTAATTTTGAATTGACCCTATATCTTTTTTTCTTAGAAAATTAAAGATATGAACATTTTTTTAGCCAATTTCCCCCAATTTTCATTCAATTTTATGTTAAATTATTAAAAAATATATTATTTTTTTTTTGGAAAAATACAAGAGAACGAGAAAAAAATAATGTAAAAACCTATCCCCACCCAGACACCCATTCGCGCCCCTCTTCCCCTCTGTTTTTTTCCTCCTCTCTCCACGCTTCTCCCCAGGCCAACCAGCATACATTCAAAGCCATAAGAGAGAGCATGTGTCTGTGAAAAAGGCTTAGCCAAATTCAGAGAGAGATTGGAGATTTTATTGGATTTGGATAGGCTCTGTGTTTCATTTGGGACCGAGATATTTGGGTGGCATAGAGAAAGAAGAAGGGCAAAACAACCAGAAGTGAAGAACAAAGACGCAGCCTGTTGATGTCAAACTCTTCACCCCTGACGCACCTTCCCCCGCCTCCCTCTCTATCTCGTCGCCCTCTTCACTTAGGCTTTAGGATTTTGATCTTTTTTTTTTCCTTTTAATTTCTGCAAATTTAATTTGTGAAGACTTGAACAACAAAAAAATTGGAGCTTGCATGGGTTGTGGGAGGGCGTCGACAGGGTGGGGTGGACCATGAGCAGCGCCGCCGGGAGAGAGTGCCCAAAGAAAGAGAAAGAGAGGGATGACAATTTTCCCCAAGTAAGGATCTTCGTGGGGATTCAATCTTAATGGGTCGGGTATCAAGGATAAAAAAAGGGTATGGAGACGGGTACGGAGAATTTTTTGAGTGTGGTGTTCGGGAAAGAGCGGGGATTGAATTTTAATAGCCAACTCGAACCCTCCACGTTTAGCATATATATATATATATATGCTATTAAAGTGATTGTGCCAACTAAGTTTTATAATTACAAGTCATAAACACATCTCCATCAACACACAGCCCTAGCACACCCAACTCTTCTTGTACTCTTCCACACAATTTGAGTATAATGCCCACACATTTGCCCAGCCTCACACGTATTTGTCACATAAGTATAGTACTTCTCTTCAGCTGCCCATGTATTCACTGCGTCACTCGGCGTCCAAGTCGAGCCACTGCCCCAGTATATGTTCTCTCCGAGCTTGAACTCGCCTTCCGGGAACGAATGCTCCAACTTGCAGTCCGATTTTCTTATGCCTGCCCACCATTGAGCATATTTTTCAAGCTGAAAGTCCCACATCAAAGGCATCTCCCACTTGTTTGCCCTGACCAAATTGTGTTGGTACAAAAATTCTAGGGACTCTCCTATGCAACCCCAGCATAGTTGCTTTGGGATCCTCAGTATGGTCTCGTTGTTGGGCTTTTGTTGGAAAAAATGTGTTTGAGAAGTGGCTGAAACAATAGAGTTGGAAGTGAGAATAATGTAGAGGACAAAGAAGGAGATGAGGAAATGGGGCTTCATTTGTTTTTTTCAGCTTGTCCTAGGTCTCGTTTGTGGAGCATATGCTTGGAGAGAAGAGAGGAAGAAGAACCACACGCAGTAGGATATGTGGAGCACAAAGGAGCTTATAATTGGAAGGTGTTGTAGATTCTGGTTTTCTTTGCATGCCATATCATAAATAACTCTCTATGTATGATTGGAGGTGCTCTCGTGAATTTGGCTAATGTTGTGCCCGTGAACTGTGTTTTGTTTTATTAGGGGACATTGTGCCCACCATGTTGCACTCTAGAACATCATGCGTGGCATAAGAAAGCTTTAGGTACAATCAAGATATTGTGGCTAGTAAACTAGGTTCCAAAGGTTTAATTTTCTGTTTTTTTTATATAAAAAAATACAAACAATAGTCTAAATTATAAGAAAAGGGGTTACTCACTTGCAAACTATTCAAAGTGTCATGGAATTCAAACTTGAGACCAAGATTTTTCCGCATAAAGTATGATGTTTTCTATTAGTGGTCACTAGGCTAGACCTGATTGACTTTTTTTTTAATGATGGGAAAATGATAATTTTTCATAGACAAATATATGCTATAAAAGTAAAACAAATAAGTACAAGGAATTTAAATATATACTTGCTGGAATATTACAATATTTATTATTGTTGGTGTTTGGTGGTTGTTGTATTGGAAACGTTAGAATTTGCTGGTGATTACCATATCTTTTTTTATTTATAGAAAATTAAAGATATGAACATGTTTTTAGCCAATTTCCCCCAATTTCCCCCAATTTTCATCCAATTTTATATTTAATTATTAAAATTAATTATTTTACTTTTTTTGGAAAAATACAAGAGAACGAGAAAAAAATTAAAAAAAAACCTATCTCCATCCACAGACCCAGACCCATTCGTGCCCCCCTCCCCTATGTTTTTTTCCCCTTCCTCCTCTCTCCGATGCTTCTCCCCAGGCCAACCAGCATACATTCAAGGGTCTTTATATAATAGGCTCTTGCAACTCTAATAGTCTATACAAAAATTCATCTACATATATATTTACTTCCAACCAAAATCCAGTTTTGAAAACGGAAGCCATGAAGGATAAAAGTTGCCCATTTCTTATTACTTATTTACAAAACCCTGCCATTTTTGTTATCCAGCGATTTTTCCTAAACAATCTCTAATATCGCCTTTCCATTATTATGGTGTTGCTGGACTCAACAAATCAAAACATTCTCATAATACATATAATATATGTTCGTTCATAAATAATATGTATATATAGCTATACATATAAACCATAATTACATATAATGTAGGTATATTAAAACAGATACACTATTCATACTAGGTAAATTATATTTTTCATAAAACAAACAATAAAAAGATTATTAGTTATTTTTCATAGAACAAGTAATAGGTACATTATTTTTTCAACATAATTAGTATGTACAGTATTATTCATAAAAAATTATAAAGTAGATTATTAGTCATGTATAATTCATAAAAAGAAAATAACATAAACATTTTTATTAAACAACCGATTACCTAAATCTGTATTTATTGTTAAATTTTAAAAAAATATTTCCAAATTAATTTCTATATCCATTACAACCATTTGGAGATCTCTCCAATTTCAACGTCTGTCATTATATACAATCCAATTAAAAACTGTTTCCATATTGATTCCTACATTAATATACAAAATGCAATAATGGCTTAGTTGGGGGTATTTTTGGAATCTGAAAAGTACAATGAATAAGATTTTATGCTTATATTTATGTTGATGATATACTGATTACCGGATATAATTTGGCTGCCATCAATTCCCTTAAAGGTTTCCTTCATACCCGTTTTTGCATCAAGGATCTTGGGGACAATAGAGACTCGGTAATGGCCTATAGCTGAGTGGCTATACGGGTGTATATAAGTATAGCCGTGCGGCTATACTATTTCTTTTTTTTTTTTTTTATAAAAATCAAGTATAGCCGCGCAGCTTTTTTTTATAAAGAAAAAGGCAAAACAGAGTATAGCCGTGCGACGATATTATTTTTAAAATTTTGTTTTGGAAAAACCGAGTATAGCAGCGCCACTATACTATTTTTTTAATGAAAAAAAATATTAGAAAAACTCACATCCTCTCCAACTATCTTTTTTGAAAATCTATACTTATTGGTGCGCTGGTGTTGCAGTGAGATGAATCACACAACCTTCCCCAACATATATACCTGCATTGAGTGCATGTCACCATGCTATATGTTATTATAACGATCCATCTTATCATTAACAAATCAAAATAACTTTCTACAATATATACTCACCGTCACCATGGTGGGAGTATGTACCCAAATACATGCATAGATATGGACTAGAAGGAGACTAGGGTTTCAGTCTCATTCCTATCAAACTCATAGATGTGGACTCGAACTCAGATCTTGTCTGGGTCCTTTGCATGTGGTTCATATTTAACACTTGACTTTAAATAACCTTTACAAGAATTATCACTGATTTAATAATAATAATAATAATAATGAAGATGATGGTTTGATGGGAATGGAACTGAAACCGAGTAGGTTTGGAAACCGCGTTACACCAAGACTCCAACAGTAAACCAAGACTCCAACAATACAACAAAAGAAAAGAAAAAGAAAAAGAAAAGAAAAAATAAACATACAACTTGTGAAGATGGATCAGAAGACATAAGACTTAAAGAGAACATGAAGTCCATTCTTACAATACAATACAATACAATACAAGCTTCTAATTTAGAGATACTAAGTACGTGTGCTCTCCCTTCCTATTCAAGATGTACGTATTTCTCAGTTGCTGGTTAGATAAAATGTGCATCTCTCTCTCAACATCAAAAAGCTAATGCAATAGAGCTTATCTTAGCTTACAACATGAGTTTATTGAAACATACTAACTAATTAACTAGCTATAGCTTCTTAATGAAAAATTGGTTTTTAAACAAACACATGTACTAGGCTTAAGATAGTAGGGAGGATGATGATTCAGATGCGTCGACCTTGTCCTCCTCCTTCTCCATTGACTCTATAACCTCGTCGAGTTCATCTTGGTCAACATCCTTGTTTAAGAGCTTTTCGAGATTGGCTATCATTTCCTTAAAGGGTAATTTAATCTGAGTTTCAATAGTTTGTTTCAACTCCATGAGTTTGGTTGGGTCATGAACCTGCACATCCTGAAGAAGCCTATCAATTTTATTCTTCAAGAATGATTTGACTGCGTGTTTAGCCAAATTAACAGCAGAGAATGCCTGCCCGCTCATATGCTTGCCGGTTTTGCAGTAAATTGCAAAGGCCTCGCAATTGTTTTCGAACAGGTCGTATTCACCGAAACCTTTGCTGCTCAGTAAATTGGTGGCACGACTTATGCTTTCATCTGATGAATCACAACGCCCCGTCGTGCAAGTTCCTACTTTTTTTTATTAAGAAGTGACTAACAGAGACACCATATTCGAAGCGATAAAGCTCCTTCCCTGCAAGGAAGCAGTCAACACAAGTCATGACCGCTCCTCGCACCGTCTGTGGGTGATGCGCACAGGTTTCGCAATGCCGTCGTCGTCCTATCCATGATGTTTTTGCTTCTTTTGTTCTAGTGAAGTGGATCACTGATAAGTGCATTATTTACTATATATATAGTAAATAATGCACTTATCAGTGATCCACTTCACTAGAACAAAAGAAGCAAAAACATCATGGATAGGACGACGACGGCATTGCGAAACCTGTGCGCATCACCCACAGACGGTGCGAGGAGCGGTCATGACTTGTGTTGACTGCTTCCTTGCAGGGAAGGAGCTTTATCGCTTCGAATATGGTGTCTCTGTTAGTCACTTCTTAATAAAAAAAAGTAGGAACTTGCACGACGGGGCGTTGTGATTCATCAGATGAAAGCATAAGTCGTGCCACCAATTTACTGAGCAGCAAAGGTTTCGGTGAATACGACCTGTTCGAAAACAATTGCGAGGCCTTTGCAATTTACTGCAAAACCGGCAAGCATATGAGCGGGCAGGCATTCTCTGCTGTTAATTTGGCTAAACACGCAGTCAAATCATTCTTGAAGAATAAAATTGATAGGCTTCTTCAGGATGTGCAGGTTCATGACCCAACCAAACTCATGGAGTTGAAACAAACTATTGAAACTCAGATTAAATTACCCTTTAAGGAAATGATAGCCAATCTCGAAAAGCTCTTAAACAAGGATGTTGACCAAGATGAACTCGACGAGGTTATAGAGTCAATGGAGAAGGAGGAGGACAAGGTCGACGCATCTGAATCATCATCCTCCCTACTATCTTAAGCCTAGTACATGTGTTTGTTTAAAAACCAATTTTTCATTAAGAAGCTATAGCTAGTTAATTAGTTAGTATGTTTCAATAAACTCATGTTGTAAGCTAAGATAAGCTCTATTGCATTAGCTTTTTGATGTTGAGAGAGAGATGCACATTTTATCTAACCAGCAACTGAGAAATACGTACATCTTGAATAGGAAGGGAGAGCACACGTACTTAGTATCTCTAAATTAGAAGCTTGTATTGTATTGTATTGTATTGTAAGAATGGACTTCATGTTCTCTTTAAGTCTTATGTCTTCTGATCCATCTTCACAAGTTGTATGTTTATTTTTTCTTTTCTTTTTCTTTTTCTTTTCTTTTGTTGTATTGTTGGAGTCTTGGTTTACTGTTGGAGTCTTGGTGTAACGCGGTTTCCAAACCTACTCGGTTTCAGTTCCATTCCCATCAAACCATCATCTTCATTATTATTATTATTATTATTAAATCAGTGATAATTCTTGTAAAGGTTATTTAAAGTCAAGTGTTAAATATGAACCACATGCAAAGGACCCAGACAAGATCTGAGTTCGAGTCCACATCTATGAGTTTGATAGGAATGAGACTGAAACCCTAGTCTCCTTCTAGTCCATATCTATGCATGTATTTGGGTACATACTCCCACCATGGTGACGGTGAGTATATATTGTAGAAAGTTATTTTGATTTGTTAATGATAAGATGGATCGTTATAATAACATATAGCATGGTGACATGCACTCAATGCAGGTATATATGTTGGGGAAGGTTGTGTGATTCATCTCACTGCAACACCAGCGCACCAATAAGTATAGATTTTCAAAAAAGATAGTTGGAGAGGATGTGAGTTTTTCTAATATTTTTTTTCATTAAAAAAATAGTATAGTGGCGCTGCTATACTCGGTTTTTCCAAAACAAAATTTTAAAAATAATATCGTCGCACGGCTATACTCTGTTTTGCCTTTTTCTTTATAAAAAAAAGCTGCGCGGCTATACTTGATTTTTATAAAAAAAAAAAAAAAGAAATAGTATAGCCGCACGGCTATACTTATATACACCCGTATAGCCACTCAGCTATAGGCCATTACCGAGTCTCTATTGTCCCCAAGATCCTTGATGCAAAAACGGGTATGAAGGAAACCTTTAAGGGAATTGATGGCAGCCAAATTATATCCGGTAATCAGTATATCATCAACATAAATATAAGCATAAAATCTTATTCATTGTACTTTTCAGATTCCAAAAATACCCCCAACTAAGCCATTATTGCATTTTGTATATTAATGTAGGAATCAATATGGAAACAGTTTTTAATTGGATTGTATATAATGACAGACGTTGAAATTGGAGAGATCTCCAAATGGTTGTAATGGATATAGAAATTAATTTGGAAATATTTTTTTAAAATTTAACAATAAATACAGATTTAGGTAATCGGTTGTTTAATAAAAATGTTTATGTTATTTTCTTTTTATGAATTATACATGACTAATAATCTACTTTATAATTTTTTATGAATAATACTGTACATACTAATTATGTTGAAAAAATAATGTACCTATTACTTGTTCTATGAAAAATAACTAATAATCTTTTTATTGTTTGTTTTATGAAAAATATAATTTACCTAGTATGAATAGTGTATCTGTTTTAATATACCTACATTATATGTAATTATGGTTTATATGTATAGCTATATATACATATTATTTATGAACGAACATATATTATATATATTATGAGAATGTTTTGATTTGTTGAGTCCAGCAACACCATAATAATGGAAAGGCGATATTAGAGATTGTTTAGGAAAAATCGCTGGATAACAAAAATGGCAGGGTTTTGTAAATAAGTAATAAGAAATGGGCAACTTTTATCCTTCATGGCTTCCGTTTTCAAAATTAGA